TTGTAAAAGAAAGAGTTATTCTCTTTGGACACGTTGTTGTGTGTACGATGAAACCAGAAGAGTTGGCAGATATTGAGCTTAGCAAAGATGGCTTGGCAAAACAGGAGACCTCTTACTAAGTTATTGTCATAAAGAAAAGATGTGTGGTTATCTGTGGTGATAACCCATGAAGCTGTATATAGCATGTGTAAATATAACTTTTATAATTTCTTATTCTAATTTATCAGGCAGTGGGGATACTGGTGTGGCTGAATGGAGTTTACCTGCTGATAAAGTATGGAGAGAATAGCCGCTTTTTTTCAGAGTCCTACATGACCCTGACAGTTTTGGTCATAGTCACTAGTGCTGCGTTGCTATTGGTCACCGGATGCCTCGGCTCCTGGGTGAGCCTCAAGGATTCCATCTGTCTACAGGGACTGGTGAGGCTGTCAGTCTGTTTGTGACTGTGATTATCTCTATGTGTATGTAGTGTTTGGAGTTTACATAAAAAAGTGTTTTCTTCTCCAGTTTGTTTACCTCCTAGTTGTGGTCTTTTGTGTGAAAAGTACGGCTTCAGCACTGGCTTATTTCCACTCAGTGACGGTATGTAAGATTACTTAAAAATTAATAAGCATTGGACAATTGTGCTTTCATGATAAAAGAAGATTATTCTTGGGATAAAGAGGCATATGTGTTTTTGCTCCTTGTCTCTTCCAACTTTTTCTTTAGCTGGATACAGAGATGGCTCCCTTCAGTGGAGTGTTTGAGAACTACACCGGCAGCAGCGAGGACTCCAATTCTCGATCTGTGGATGCTATGCAAGAGGAGGTTTGTACTTTAATATGTCAAATGGACATGACTATGAATCCCTACAAAAGCTTTTTTTTGTTGTTGTTGTTGTTGTAAAACTTGTGTAGCTTGTGCAGCAGTAATACTAAAACAACAGCTATATCTTCTAAATAGATGATGTTTTAAAAATCAAAATATATAATCTTTCCTTAATGGAAATTTTCACTCAAGAGGATATTTAGGTATTGACTGAAAGCGTCCCATAAGATGCCTATAAAGTGCTATAATTTTCAGCCCTGATCTGCTTTACCTCATCCAGAAAAATCAGGCTTAAAGTAAGTTGTCCATAATACATGGACAAATGTATTATGGTCAGATATAATACATGATATATTAAGAAATTCTAATAAAAAACAAATCCTGTTCATACTCATGTCAATCAAATATAATATATGTACATTTTGACAGTTTCCACTGTCTTTTACTAACTTGTGGTGATTTTTTTTGGTCTCCGTTAGCTCAAATGTTGTGGTGTGAAGAACTACACGGACTGGCTGGAAACCACCTGGTTTAATAAAAGTGGAGGGCTCAGGTTTCCTTACAGTTGCTGCAACGTTACTTTCCCCACTTGTAATGGCACTGTTTACCAGCCATGGCAAATTTACACACAGGTAGACATGTGCATCCTGATAAATTCATCAAGCTTCTTCATGAAGGTTTGATTAGACCCATATGATTCTCTGATTTTCTTGTTCATTGACTCAATCTTTCAGGGCTGCCAAGAGGAGCTGTCGAAGGTCATACAGTTTGCGCTGAAAATGGACATGTGGAGCTCCCTATTAGTTTATGTGGTGGAGGTTTGAAAGACTTTAAACATTTCTGAACTGCATATTGTGTATACATTGCATATAAAATGCACACCTGAAAGAAAAATGAAACACTGGGAGACTGTTATCATGAGAGCAAGCTTTAATCTTATCTTTAATTTTAGTTTGGCCAAATATTTAGCACAATATCTAATATGTAAATTCAATTTTATTTATACAGCGCCAAATCACAACAACAGTCACCTCAAGGTGGTTTATATTGTAAGGGAGACACTATAATAATACATACAGAGAAAAACCGAACAATCATATGACCCCCTATGAGCAAGTACTTTGGCGACAGTGGGAAGGAAAGACTCCCTTTTAACAGGAAGAAACCTCCAGCAGGCCAGGCTCAGGGAAGGGTGGCCATCTTTCTTCCACATGCCTTGGAAGAGAAAAAGAGATTAATAACCAGTATGATGTCAGAAAATAGACAAATGCACAACAAAATTTCCAAAGCCTGGACTGGCATATTGAATTGACCTATTTTGTCAAACAAAAAAATCTAAAATCCAACTCAATTAGTAGCAACCTTTTAACATTAAGGACTGTTTACAAAGATGTGCTGCCAGCTGGATGCCGAGTAAAGCTCAACAACTTTCAGGTCCTAAGCTTGTGACATTGGAAATAACATTTCACTGCGCACCATTATCACTGCCTGTGTGGAAGTCCATTTGACATATAGTGTTATTTATTCCATTGGCAAAATAAAAATGTTGTTTAAAGCAGTCGTTAAAAACATGAACAATAATTTGATAGTTTTTTATTAAAATCTTTAAAATGTGTCACATTTTAATGAATATTTAAACTTTTCACACTCCATTTTCTCTACATCACACATGTTAACTAAGGTGGTTAACAACATAAAAGCTCATCTGTTACAATGATGAATCCACCTAAACATCTTCTGCATCATGCAATTTATAAATGGTTTTACTTCATTTAGTGGTGTTAGATTGAGCTTTTAATCATAAATTCTTACACATGTTTAACACAGGCTGCAGAAGGTGATTATTTGCCAATAACCAAAATCCTGCTCTTTTTCTTTCTTCTCCTGCAGATTGGGTTGTTTGTGATGGTGAAACAGCTCATGAGAACAAATAGATCTACGAGGTACCAAGTACTGGAGAAAAACTAAAGATGCTCTAATGGATGGAAGATCACTACACTTTGAATAGATATAGTTCAAATGTCAAAACTATTGAGTCATTTGCCGGTACACTATGAAACATGTAAAACTGGAGAAAGTCGTTTTGTGTAATACATGTACAGATGTCTATTGTTATCACTGGATAGTCTGTCACCAAAAGACTGACAGTTTTTTGCAATAAACATTAGAATCAGAATACTTTAATAATCCCTAAAGAACTTATGTAATTATGTAAACATACTGCAGAACTGGCCTGTGTGGACTTCTGGCCTGACAAAATGTAGGCAAAGATGGGGCAAAGGGCTTAGAGATATATCCTAAATTAGGTTTGATCAATATGAGTTACTGTCAGATTTTTTTTGGCCTACAGAGGGCTGGCACATTTCTGCTATAGCTCTCTCAAGCAATATTTGTGTTGAGTGTGTGTGGTTGAATTGTGGTAAGTTTGTATCTTGATTGTCAGTGCATTACTGTATGTGGAGAATTCCATCACTGCCTGTGTAATAATGTTTTGTTATTAGACTGAAAGTGGTGCATACAGAATTACTTTATAAAAGAAATATAAATGAAGTGGAAACTAATTGTATACTTTACATTGCATTTAGCAATTTAAGCTTCTCTGCACTGATATTCACATGTGATCCCTATCCCTATGGTCACTAAATTGTGACATGGACTTTTAAGATATAATAATATTTTTCAACAAGTCAACCAACAAACTATTTTTCGTTTTCCTTAAGACCCAGAGAAATATTCACCCTTTGCCAAAACCTGGGGTTTGTCCATTTGATGTAGATGAAAAATAAACCTAATGATGCCATTGTTGGAAAGCCAAATTATTATTTTATTTTCTATTTTATATAGACGTGCCTTTAACAATAATGCCCTCTGATCAAAGAAGCTTGGTTATCCCTTATTTATCAAGTGCCTCATCATGTGAGCCAAGGTGTGAAAAAAGGTGTGGATCATTACCACCAGATGTTTCGGCTGAACCACTGTGAGATCCTATCATGTGATCTATTGAGGTCACCTGACACAGGAATGTAATGTCATGTATTTTTTTTTTAATACTGTATAGATTTTCCTTACTAATTTACTTTTTGCTGCAAATGATTAGCTATTTCAAACTCCACTAAGTAAAAAAGGGCAACTTTTCTGAAAAGTTTTTATGTTGGATTTGCATGCTGGGAATTTAGTTACTTGTACTTCTTAATCCTATACTCCCAGTCATTTGTCTGAAATGTCCGAACCTGTCAAAATAAACAATTTGGTTTTCCAGTATAGTAAGCCAGGTGAGAGTCATTTTAAATTATGTTAAGCAAGCAAAGAAAAATGCTCAAAATGCTCAAAAAAAGAAGGGGAGGAGAGGGCAGTGTGAGTGTAGTGCTAGGACTTTGGATGTGAGCAGCGCTGGAAATTAGCACAAAACATGAAGTTCTGATGGATGAGTAGCTTGTGTTTTTGTACTCATACTGTAATAGTTTGTGTGTGTGTGTGTGTGTGTGTGTGTGTGTGTGTGTGTGTGTGTGTGTGTGTGTGTGTGTGTGTGTGTGTGTGTGAGAGAGAGAGAGACAGAGAGAGAGAGAATATGAGATGCAATTTTTCATTACGGCTTGGGGTCAGTTTTTGTGGGAAGGTTATAAGGTTTATAAGCCAATAAGACTCCCTAATGTCAAGTATTTATTTTAAAGGGTTAAAAACGGAAAATAAAAATACACGTTACCTCCTTACAAAGATGTTTTAATGATAATATTATTAATAAAAATATAATAAATAATAAAAAACATAGATAAATATAATTACAAAATTGGAAGGATTGATGTTTATTATCATTGTTGATGTTGTTGTTGTTATAATTATTGCTGAATTTAGAATTAAGTCGAAATTTCGAGATAAATCGTGAAATATTATTTTGAGATTAAATCTCAAATAGTATAGAAAAAAAATCTAAATTATTTTAGTTTATTTTCAAAATAGTAATATAATATTTCGTTTTTCGCATACTCCTCGGTAATCTCTTCATCTCTAGAGTATTTGTGTTTTTATGTGTTGCAGCATGCCTTTCATGGGGTCCGGAGTTTATTCAAATTAATCATATCTACAGAGGAAATATTTTTAGCTTTGATCGAACTAGCCATACTGGATGCGGATCCCACCGTCGTCTCCTGCAGAGGCGTGCCGATTTAACAGCTCGTCTTTCAGATCCGTGAGGGGGCGTGGCTGTTTCCGTCACTTAGCTTCGTTCTGGGTTCCTTCGTTACGTGAGGCCGACTTGGAGGGAAGTGGACGTTGCCAAGAAGAAAAGAAATAGGCGAAGGGAGCAGAAACAGCAAAAAGCACCACTTAAAAGCTGGTAAGAGCTTTCATGGTAACAAATGCTTCCACGGAGTCGTCTAGCCTTTGCTTCGATATTTCGACGTGCAAAGGTTTGTCAAAGGCAAATGACTGCCATGCCGCTTTCGCGGCCTGTATAGCTGTTGGCTAGCGTTAGCCTCTGTGGCCTGTTAGCAGGCCGCTGGGGTTTCGGCACAGGGACAGAAAAGCATTCATGTGACGCTCTCAAAAATGGGGCAGCGGTGCTTTGTGTTAGCTATCCGGCGTCGGTGTCACTTTACTTTTCACATTGCGACCTATTACGGACCCTTATAACGTTTAAGTTAGAATAAGAAATTTACCTTCTGTTTGCTAATCCCGATGTACACATTTGTCATCGTAATCATTGTAAGCACAGAAAAGCGTGGAGTATGCAGCTCACTAGTTTGCTAATGCTATAAAATTTTGCTAGCCGGGCCCGTGCACGTTTCCGATTTAGATTTTGAGCTCGCGAGTCGATGTGTTGTTCACCCGTGTGTTTAAAACAAAAGTGCAGTATTAAAGCGGAGTCACTGTAGAAATTAATCTAAGATTTCTCAATAGTGCTTTTTTTTTTTATTTTAGCCGCGTTAAATAGTGAGCACAGTAGCTCGCAGTTCCCTTGTTCTTGGAAGCTGTTCATTCAAATATTGCACATTCAAATTCTGATCTAACGCTGCTGCTACATCAGCTCCGCTCCATATCCGACTGGATAATATGGAAAAAAAAAAATACTAGTGCGCTAGCCCAGTTTTTCATCAGGATTACTTGTGTTCATTGAAAAGATGTAAGAGCGTCTTTAATTGAAACTTTCCATGCTTTAACAGTTAATATTCAGCAACTGCTCTAAAACGATTTATCTTGCACGGCAGTTCGGCTTGTCTGGACTCTTTAAGTTGTTATGTGGTGAATAGTTGGGTTTTTTTGGGGGGGTTTTTTTGTATTCCCTTACCCCTGTCTTTGCAGAGTCAACAAACCATTTCTGTTCTCACAATAGTTTGGTTTTATTTGGAGGTTATGTTAGGAAAATAAAATTTGATCCAAAAGTTATCTATCCGTTTCCTATAAAAGATGTGTTTCACAGGAGATAAGAGTGGGATTGGCTGGTGACCTCCATGTATGCCCATTTTGTGAGACCCAATGTTTAATCAATCAGAATCAGAATACTTTATTGATCCCTGGGGGAAATTATTTTTTGTTACAGTGCTCCATTTTAAACCAACATTAAGACAAGACAGACAATACACTAACTAAGAATAACTTTACTGCTAAACTATATCTATCATATAGATAGATAGATAGATATGAGAGAGAGAGAGATGCATTTAATGTAAAATTAATTGCACTTTTTATGGTCTCTTTACACAATGTGCATACCAGTCCAGTTTGTGACTTCATTCATAGGCGCCCCATGTGAGAAACAAAGTAAACAGGAGAGCATTTAAGCTGGGAGAGCTGCCTCCTTTAAAGCATTATAGACAATCTGGTAGCATGATTTTTCAAGGAATTTGTAGAGCTTTAATGTCCAATACAAGGTTCTGTATTATAAGATGTGCTGCATCTTAATGTCATCTTGATCAGATTGTAGGTTTAAGATAAGATAACCTTTATTAGTCCCACACGTGGGAAATTTGTTTTGTCACAGCAGGAAGTGGACAGTGCAAAAGTTATGAGGCAAAAATTAGAATACAATAAGAATAAATACAGTACACAACTGTACAGAATAGAATAGAATAAAATACTATATACAGTAGAATAAAATAAAATAAATATACAATAAGATAAAAATAGAATACAAATACTATATACAACTGAGTAAAAATACAACGATGACAGAAAGGATTATTGCACTTAGTATTATTATTGCATGTTATTTGCTTGTTGAGTTGCCCTGACGTTGTTTGATATTTGTTTTTTCTCCGCGTAGCTTCAGGAGCAGTGAAGTGTCTTCATGGCAGTTCGTCGAGGACACATTAAGTATATGAAAGTGAGTACGAATGGCAGCTTTCATTTCAGTGAGTACTGTAGTATCTGACCATATTGTTTGGCAGTATGGTCAGTGTACAACATATTAATGGCATCAATTACAACTTAAAGCAAGTTGGCTGTTATATAGTAACAGCGTAACAAGTTTGTAAAAGATAATAAAAATCCAAAAGGCACACTGCAATTCAAGCAAATAATCAAAAGTTATCAGCCAGACACACAAACAATATTATGTAGCTGAAATATTGACTCTTGGCCCAATCGCATTTCAGTCTTCAACTAGTGTATTCTGTAGTGCGGGCTGTGAAAACAACAATTGAATTGGTATTTAAAAAAAATAATTTTAAGACATTTTCTAGTCATCTAAAATAATGTTAGTCCTATCAAATGTGTCATAAGACCACATTGCAGATAATTCGTGTTAGACATAATCATGAGGATTAACGTTAGGTACCAGCTTTGTTATGTTTTTAAAATGTGCATATTCATGTTAGCTTAGTGTAAATCACTGCTTTGACATAGGTAAAGTTTACATCCATTCACATCTTTGTCTAATATATTTGGGATTATGACTTAATTGTATTCCAGTATTTACTATCCTTTCTAGACACTTACAAGCAGTATGAATGATCTTGGCCTTTTTGACCAGAAAGTCCCAGGATTAATGAAGTTAAGGGAACTAAAGTGTGAATTCAAAGTCTCTTTTGCACCTAACAATTGGTGTCTCTACTGTACTTGACAGACTGGGATATAAAGTGAATCACACACAGGAAAGTTGAAAAGTTGTTTGGTAGGTATTTGGCATTTGCTTTCTATTACAGTTTCGGCTTCCGATGATTACAGAAACAAACAAGAAAAATCACATTTCTTTTCATACTCTCTTGTGGGAACCTGGTCTGCTGTGTGCTGTCACTCAGCCTGTGGCTGCCATGCAGATCACCTGAGACAAGTTTGCTTTAGGCAAACAGGGACCACTATTTCTCTTTAGGTGACAGGCTTTATGGTCAAAAATTGCCACGTTATAAGAGTCATGGACTTTGAATGATGGATAATTAAACTTCAAATAAATCTTCTGAAAAAGACACATGTTTTAAGTCCGGTAGATGGATAAGTGATGGATAACTAAGATTACCGTGTTGACTACAATAATCAGATTTTACTTGGCGTGACCTCCTTTTCTTATTAACCGTATAGATGAAAAGGAGGCATCTGGATCTTGTACAGGAGCTTTTTGTTCATTTGGTGCAAACCTTTTTTTTTTTTCTTTAATTCTAGTAACTATCAAAACTGTCCAGTATGCCCACTATTATTACTAATTTTTACTGCATCATTTTGTTTAATAAATAGTTCAAAATCTAAAGGTTACTACAGGTCACGTACTTGCAGTTAACGGCCTGGGGTAAACTTCCAAATGACCGTCTTCTGTAAGTAATTAAATCGGTTTCAGCAGCAGTTCTGTTCTACCCAACGTGCTTACCTTGTTTTGTGTTTTCGGCCCACCTGGCTGACTTGCAGGAGGTGTATGACATGTCGAACGGTTATGAAGACCACATGGGAGGGGATGAGGGGAAGGATGCCAAGACCAACCTGATCGTGAACTACCTCCCTCAGAACATGACGCAGGATGAGCTGCGGAGCCTCTTCAGCAGCATTGGGGAGGTGGAGTCTGCCAAGCTAATAAGAGACAAAGTTGCAGGTATGCAAAGTTTTGAAGCAATAAATCATGTCAGATCAGATCCAAACAAGATCTTGGATTAAATAGAAAAGGATTCCTGTTAGACTTGGCCAAAAATACATGCTGTGGCATTGCCAGACCATGTCGAGGTGGAGATTTGTCTTATAATAATTTTATTTATTTGGACGCTGTTTATTAATGGCCTGTTTTCTGCCCTCAGTGATTCTGTAACTTTTATTTGAGAGATCTCCCAAATTTATTTCCTGCCCACGCTGGGAAGTAGTTTCCTGAACATTTTTGATTATCATAGCCTTGTTTTATTGATTCCAACCAGCCCAGCCCTGTTTAATTGTTTATTCTAGCATGCAATGTTTGAGATTTGTTTTTATTTTTAATATTTATTTGTTTGCAGATTTTTTTGAACTATAAAACGTTTTTTTGTTTTATTTTATTGTTTTCCTTTTTTTTCTCTAGGCCACAGTTTAGGGTACGGATTTGTTAACTATCTTAACCCTAGTGATGCAGAAAGAGCTATCAGTACACTGAATGGACTAAGGCTACAGTCCAAAACTATCAAGGTAACGTGCAATAAGGTGTTCTACAATTCTCAAAGCAAAGATGTTATGTCATTTAACTTTGCTGTGGCTCTTGTGCTGTCCGCTATCTAGCTAGTACATGTCAGCCCGAGGAAAGAAATACTGCTTTTAACGCTCACTTACTGCCCTATCTTATAAGTCTCTGGTGTTTGACTTTAATTCAACTTATTTTATTTGACACATTCTGTCACAGTAAGTGTATTAAATGTATTTAATTTTCAAAATTTTTTTTATCACTGTAATGTTCTGTTGCTTCTGATCCTCCCCCTCACCCATTTTTGTTTTATTTATTTTTTTTACTCAGACCAAAAACTTGATGTCTAAAACAACCAGATTATTTTGTAGTTTTTTAATCCAAAATGTTGCTTTCTGATGGACAGACACAGCAGTGTTCAGCTGAATAAAAAGATGTATAAATATGACCAAACCACTGCTATATTAATCTCTGTTCAATCAAACTACTGTTTAGATGTTTTACTTTGGCAATTCTTTTTCAATTTCTGCATGCATATCAGAGTTTTAATCAGGCGTTTGTTGCTTCCTGTCGCCAGGTGTCATATGCACGGCCCAGCTCGGACACAATAAAGGATGCTAACCTGTACATCAGCGGACTTCCCAAGAACATGACCCAGAAGGACGTGGAGGACATGTTCTCACGTTACGGGCATATCATAAATTCCCGGGTACTTGTTGATCAAGGTACAGGTACGCAAGGTGAATGGCTTCCTTGCTTTTTTTTTTCCAAAAATTTTGTTGAAATTAAATAAACAGTTTGTTTTTACAAAGTGATATCAGTTACTGCTAAGTAGCTAAATGCAGTTCATGCGGCTTGTATCGGAGTAGGTGGTTACAGCTGCTCTCTCAAACCTAGGTTCATCCCGTGGAGTGGCTTTTATCCGTTTTGACAAGCGTGCAGAAGCGGAGGAGGCTGTCAAAAACCTAAATGGTCAAAAGCCACCAGGAGCCTCGGAGCCAATCACAGTAAAATTTGCAGCCAACCCAAACCAGGTGAAGAACACACAGCTCCTCTCTCAGCTCTACCACAACCAATCCCGACGCTTTGGAGGACCCTTACACCACCAGGCACAGCGGTTTAGGTGAGGGAAGAGCTACATACATATAAACTGAATGGTGCTGATGCTTGAAATGCTACCATTTTTATATTTCATTGATTATCTAAGAAAAAAAAACAATAATCAGTCACGTTATCATTCTTAGTAACAGCAAGTATGCTAAATACTCTCACTTTCAGGTTTTCTCCCATGGGTGTCGATCACATGAGCAGCATGGGAGGCGTCAGTGTCCCTGGAAACTCCACCTCTGGCTGGTGCATCTTTATATACAACCTAGGCCAGGACGCAGACGAGAGCATCCTGTGGCAGATGTTCGGTCCCTTTGGTGCCGTGACGAATGTCAAGGTCATCCGAGATTTCAACACCAACAAGTGCAAAGGCTTCGGCTTCGTTACCATGACAAACTACGAGGAGGCCGCCATGGCCATCGCCAGCCTGAATGGCTACCGGCTTGGAGACAAGATACTGCAAGTGTCCTTTAAGACCAGCAAGGGCCACAAGTAGAATAAGCCGGACAATCAGGTGTAGAAGAAAGCGGGAAGTAACCCATGTCAGGCTTTTATTGCAGAAAGCTTAAGTTTTCAATGTTAGACACACCAGTTTCAGTTTCATCATATTCAGAGTTAAGTGACATGTTCACTCTTCTGCACCTTTGTAATTGTCTCAAAAGTGTCTAAGGTTTTCTTTTCTTTTCTCCATTGTTGTTTGTTTGGGGTTCAAGGACACTCAATTTTAATTTGGAGTGGATGGAGAGGCTAAAATCCCAAATTACCACCAACATTTTTTTGTGAAACTTATCTCAAAAACTAAAATCCTGTCTATATGTGTTGCATGTAAAGCTGTAGGAACTGCATAAAGGAGGCAAACCAATGATTCTTAGCAGTGCACTAAAAACAAACAAATCAGAACATTGTAAAAGATCCCAAGTGTGAACTTTTCAATGAATGATTTGGTGTAAAGATAGGGTTAAAGACTGCCCTCCCCCTTTTAATGAGACAGTTTTACTGCGGAAGAGCAGTGCTCTGTCCTGGTTCCTCATCACAAGTAGAAATAGATGCCTTAAACGATCATACAGTGGACATCCAGTAGACCTTTTAACTACTCACTACTACAAGTCAGTCTAAGAGCATAGCACTTTTAGCCAGCCAGCTTTAGGTTGCTCTGTATATCAGTCTTTTTGATGGTAATCTATTACTTCTGTATACCTTCCAGGCAGGTTTAAGAGTTCTTAAAAGAAACAGTGAGCCCTAGAAGGGAAATGTTTGTTTTGTTATCCATATGTAAAGTGTCTTTAATTATAAGTTGTTTGATGCGAGTTGCAAATGAACCCCAGTCAGTGAGTCACAAATTAAAATGGACCAAAGGCAGGGAGAGATACTGATAACCTCGCAAGAGTTTTTCTAAGCAGATGTTCAAGATAAATATTTTGGAGCCCAATTGATACTGGATTCTCATTGGCCAATGTTTGTTTTTTTTTGTTCACCATAATCTGCAGATACTTAAAACCTCTGTGATTAAGCTGAGATTTACAGGTATCAGCTGAGCTCTAGTTATTAATTTTTTTTCTTTTGTTCTTTTGATGAGGTACTAATTATTTACACATAATACTGATTCTTACTGAGAGCAATGCCACTAGCTGTTTGCTGATCTGTTGATTTTTGTTTTGTTTTTTTCCTTTTCCTTTTGAGTTTATTTTCTTTTGATTATATTTCTTTGTAGATTCATACAGTTTTGTTACCGTATTAAGTTACAAACTTGTTTTAACGAGTGCTTATCTCGAATGGCCTTTGTTATGGATTTCAGTTTAGATTTAATTTTCTTCCTTTCTTTTGTTTTGCTTGTTTCCCTTTGAACATAAACCATTAAATTTTGTTTTGTTTTGCTGCAAGTTTTGTTTGGTTTGTTTGTTTGATTTTTTTTATTTTATTTACCCTTTTAGAATTGTTTTTCAGTTTTGTTTTATTTCCCTCGGTAGCAAATTTAGAGCGCTCCTAACACTTATCAAGCAAAAGTTTCTTCACTGGAAGCTTTTACACTTTTGAGATGTTAACAACTTATGGACCAATGTAGGTTGAGAGGATTTGATGCTACTTAAACAAAACTGATATTTTAAGGCAAGTAAGCATCTGTTAGATGTTTTCCACAATGATTTTTGAAACATGACACAAGTTTAACTGCAGAAGAACAGCAAACTGAATCAGTCTGTTGGCACTGCTGATAGTTTTGCTGCCTGTAGTTAATCCGATTTCAGTATCATCAATAGACATCTGGCTGTATGAAGCTGCTTTTAATATCTGGCTGTTAGTTTTGTATTCACACTAAATTGTCCACTTGTCAGTGTAGGTATCTAATGAAGCTAGTGATTGTACACAAGCTAGTTTCCATATTTTAACTAGAAGTGTCAAAGATTTAGGCTTTTAAAACCAAACGCACTGCTTTGATCTTTAATGGAGATTACTTTTTACCACATGGCTTTGTTCACCTATTAGTAAAAGACTCACCCAGTTAGAAAAGAACTATGTCCACCTTTGTGTATGTTTCTTTAAAAATGCCGTTAGCATCGGTGCTGCAGTTGTTCTGATTCAAGCTCAGCAGGAGTTAAAAAGCATAACACTTGGAGATGTATTTCTAAGAATATACTTGGCTACAAAACTTGTTCAAAATTTTTCAGATTCTGTTTTAAAACTGTTTTTCTCCCTCCCCAGCAATAATTAAGCTGACACTTGAGAATATAGTTAAAATTGTCTGGCCCATCATAAAGGAATGCTCACATTGTGAGCTTGAAACTTTGGTCTTATTGTGCATCTTGATTTAGTATCTCCATGTTGTTATTATTGTGTCAGGATCCTTAACTTTGTGCAATATTTCATGACTTGCTCAGTGCAGGTAATAGACATTTGTTATAGTCATCGACTGTCATTTTGGGTTTTTTTTAAAAATATATAAAATTTTCTATTGACGTTACTGTGTAGTTATGTTGGCAGTCTAGTTTGGTTTGCATGAAAGGTGCAAGTGCGTTTAAGGGGCAGTGAAAATAAACTGCATTCCGCCTTAATTTATAAGAGGAAATAGTGTATTTTACATCAGAGGAGGCGCATTTATTTATTTGACAGTGTTTGTGGTCATACTTGATACTTATTGCAGTGTTTTTAATGGATTGTTTTGTTTTCTTGGTTTTGAACACTTTTGACACTAAGCTGAAGTCCGTTAAATGTCTTCTAACATTTCAATAAAAACATGGTGGCTTTAAAAAAAAAATTAAAGGAAAATTAAATGTGTATTTAGAAGCTTGTTGTGGATTTGATCTACGTGATTCTCTTGAAAAAAGATGAGTAGATGTGCACTTGCACTTTTATGTACATGTTACTGAAGTTAGTGTTGCTGTGATATGACAGTATTGTTGCACATTCTTGGAAATCTGGAGATGTGATTTAATAGTAGACTTGACATGTAGATCGGAGTTGGAACCTTCTGCAACCAGATGGTGGGGACAGTGAGCAGAGTCTATCCTGAAGCTTATTTTTTCTGCAGCTCTTTGTCTCAGTTTTCCTTCAACTTTAAAATTAAAGCCAAAAATTGAGTTTTCTAAAGTAGAATATGAATATACAATTTCAGACACCTACACATATTTAAAACAAAAAAAAAACCCCAGCTTCTTCAAAATGGCTTGGAAAGGAAAGAGAAAATTGAAACCAGTCTGGCTATTCTGTTTTTAGTGACTTTGGAATGCTAAAAACTCTTTTATTCAGATATAAATAGCTAAGTTGTAGCAAATTGTCATTTCAAGCAGGACCCTTTTTCTGTTTTGAGACTCGCATCCTTTTCAGAAGAACTCGCACTTGTGAGCGATGATGTTTGAAAGCTTGAAGTGAAAACTTTTCTTGGCAGTGAAATATGGTACAGGATGACCAGCATACAAGACAGTGCATGGGCTCATCCTGAACAACAACCAGCTAGAAGAATGCCAGAAATGGTGGTTTTATTTTACGTTTTTACTCCCCAGGCCTTGGTTTGGATGGATATGGTCCATTTTGAATTCGAATTACCAAAACGTAAAGCATTGTCTTTGTCTTTTTGTTATTTAAATAATAAAAATTAAACCAAAATGCTGAAATGGTGTTTGTGGAAAATTGAAAGCGCATCCTTACTGCTTCCACAGGAACTAAGACGGTAAGCAGCTCTGTACAAAGTTTTGACAAATTGCTGGTCTTGGGGTATTCATGTTGCCACAGAGGAAAGACCTCAGCAATGATCTTACAATGATCTTAGAAGCAATTGTTGCTGCCCATCAATGTGGGGATGTCTGTCAAAATCCAACTGTTAATGTGTTTAGAGTGTGGGATTAATCCCTGGCCTTTGATTATACTTTTTTATTTTTAAGACCTAAGTTGTGCTCCTGAGCCACTAATTTTTGCTGCCCTGTACCAGTAATTTTTTTCAAGTGACTGCATCTTTGTACATAAATCAGTGCACTGTTGGATCATTCAATGCTAATTACCCCAGAGGGAGCTTTCAGTCACAAAACTAACAATTGGCCTTTTTGTAGACAACAGAGGTTTTCTAGAAACTTACTAAATCTTGCCCTAAATATCATGACAGCTTTGATCAATTATTTTGTGCTTGTCAACTTTCTTGCATGAAATATTCTATAAAATCCAACTAAATTTCAACCTAAGTGTACAGAATTTATTTATTTGTCTTAGGAAAAAGGGGAAAAAAGGAAAGTTGAGCACATAAATTCATACATAACAATTTTTTTAAGTCATTGCTACTTAAGGTGGTTATGCAAGCTGTTGAATCACTGGGTGCACTTAGTTTTTCACACACTGCTTCTGCATTTTGGTTTAATTTTTGTTTAATAACACTGTAATATGCCATGTTGTTGTTCATCAGAGGTTGTATTCAAAGAATTTTAAGATCTCCTGAAGGACCAGATTATGTAAAAACCTTATAACTGACAGATGCTATACTTTCTTTTTACCTTGCCAAGTATAATCCAGCATGTATCATGAGCACTGCATATACTTAAGCTCAATAGTCTCTGAGGTTAATTATTAAAATAAAAACTTTCACAGCACTGGTATGTAGCAGGTTTTTATTAGAAATGAACACAAAATTAAAAGCAGTGGTATAAAAACACAGATTATGCTATAATTTTCATTTGCTAGGGATATGTTGGTATATTTCTTAATTTTGCTTTAATATTTATGCATAAACACCTTGTCTAACAGAGAGAAAGCCCCTGTTCTGTTGCTCTTTGTCTATTAGCTCCTTATAACATTCAAGTCTTTCAAGGTCTCAGCATTATTGTCAAAAATGAGGCAACGTTAAGGCATTTCAAAACCTAGACTTAAGTTAAAACTGCAGTCATGTTTCATTATGACGGGTCTACTGTGGATTTTAATTGTCCCCCTGGAACTGATAAACACTGATCTCCATCCAATGCATGTCATCGTGACGTATGTTCCTGTCTGCAAGTGCATTCAGACAATGTGGCATTCAAGATTTAATAAAATGCATCTCCTCACATCTCTCTACATGCAAAGCTGAATAGAGACATGCTGTTTTGTACATTGTATCAAGTAGTACAGGTTTCTGCATGGCACAGGCTTTGAGTGAACTTTTAGAGCCTCCGTTAGTGCCTTTGTAGGTGCATCTACGTGCTGTAGAAGGCATCGTGTAAAAGTGTCTCAGACTTGACAGAGGTTGTAGCAGGGCACGGGTTTCTCCAGCACGTTGTCTCCATCCACTTCAAACACATAATCGCAGCGATGTGTGATCAGCGGAGCATCAGACAGTGCCACGCTCTGATTGCCAAAGGAGATTACTGTGTCTCTCTGTAGGGAAGATGACAGCGGTAGGTCTACAGTTAGTTCAAAGGTAGGAGGTGTTGGGGAGGACTGATGTGTTTTCATTTCCCATTGCCAAGTTTGACATTATATTTGATTTGTAGTTCAAAATAATTACAGCATGTACCTTACCTAGGTACTTATGGACCAAGGTTTCTCTACTGAAGGGCAGGTGGTTTAGCACCAGCCGCTTCTCCAGCTCTTTAAAGCTCACTTTCTCTTAATTGGCTGCCCCTCATAAACAAAGGGATGAACAGCAGGTGGGTGGGCCTTCTGTCCTCAGCAGAACTGCTTATATACCAGAGCTTCTAAGACCTTATCATGTGGCCGGCCTCTCCAATTGTCTAACGGGGTCTCCTAACTGTTCCAGGCTCTGATTTTAAAACCAGAGGTGATCATTGTTTATTCCGTCCAAACTGAACCAGATTTCTCAGTCAATCAGATCAGCTGACTCTGTTATTTCTTTCAAACGATTGCTGAAAACTCGATTTTTTTGTTTGCTTAATCTTTCCCCCTTCATTGTTGGCCATAGTTTGCAACTATTTGCATGTATGTGTGTATGTTGGAATGAATGTATGTCAGTATGGCTGATTATGTGTCTGTATGTATGTTTAAACATGTACACGTATCATCAATATGTGGCTTTATTTAAACTGCACTTTGTAACTCTGCTATACAAATTGTTGTTGTTATTATTTAAGGATAAATACCTGCAAACTGAGGTTGCAGACTCTTGTTTCTAGTTCATTAACTATATACAGGATTGGATTTTGGGAGAATTTTTGAAATCTTTCATTTATGTGAACTTTGATATATACTAACAGAAACGGTCCTTACCCGTTCTTTATTGGCTACAGCAGCAGAAGCAGCGGTTGCTGATTTATCAAAGTCCTTCTTGCATATATGAGCCATAATCCCAGCAGCTAAGGCATCACCCAGAACATTGATCATTGTCCTGAATCGATCACTGATGAAATGAGAGGGGAAAAGTTCATCACAAATTGACCAATTTAGCTAAATACTAAGACTTACTTAAAGATAATAACTTTTGTGGGACTTACAGCACCCAGTCAATGGCTACAATCAAGGAGATGTCAGCAGGTGGTAAACCCACAGAGGTCAGGACAATCACCATTGTAACCAAACCCGCTTGAGGTATCCCAGCTGCTCCAATGCTGGCTGCGGTTGCTGTTATACTGATGAGACAGAGGAAAAGATGTTAGGGAAACAGAAAAAAAAAAAAAAGGGAAACAGATTTTCAACACAAGGAACTTCTCAGGGGAGCATCTGTTCTCAGTATTTATTCTCACCTGATAGTGACCAGCTGGCCAAAGTCCAAGTCATACTCATTGACTTGAGCTATGAAGATGGCTGCCACTGCTTCATACAGGGCTGTTCCATCCATGTTGATAGTGGCTCCCACTGGAAGCACAAATCGAGCAATTTGCCGGTCAACTCCACAGTTCTCCAGGAGACACTTCATAGTGATTGGCAGCGTGGCTGAGCTGCAACGAAAGAAATCAGAGGATATAAAAGGATGTCAGGTTAGTCAGCAGACTTCAATCTGAACCAAGGACTGGTAAAATGTCCTAGTTAGAAATGTAGAAAGATCTACATTGGTGGGATATAACACATAAAAATGTCTGTTTTCTCTTACCTTGAAGATGTAGCTAGTGCAATGACAAGAGCCTGCAGCAGCCCTCTGATGAAGGTGAATGGATTTTTGCGGGTAAAGAAGAAATAAAAGAGAGGCAGCAGGATGAGGCCATGCACGAAGAGACCACACAGGACAGTGATGAAGTACATGCCCAGCTTCTCCCCCAGATGGGCTGGGTCGTGCATGTCCAGGATCTTTCCTGCCACCAGGAACACAATGCCGAAGGGAAAATACCTTCAAAGAAGAGAAGATAGAACATGAATTACATTCATTTTCTTACCACGTTGACTCCTGAAAATATATGAAAGTTTTTTTGTTTCTTTCTGAGTGTGTGTCCCTACAGGAAAGGATTTCCATCCTGACCTTAACCCCAAACAACTCCACTGGGATTATTTGAGACATCAACTGTGATCCAGCATCAGTTTGCTGACCTCACTAATGCTCTTCTGTCTGAATGGGAGTAAATCCCATGTTGTATGCTGCCAGGCATCAGAAGAGTGCCAGCTGTTATAGCAGCAGGCTGAAGCTCATAGACGTGACTTTACATGTTCAAAATCACATATTGTACACATGGATACAATCAGTCTTTGAAGCTCCAAGTTTTTTTCTGACGTACATGCATGGTGCCTGTGAGTTGCCTGATGTATTTACCTATGAGTTTGTAGCACTAATTTTATATAGAATGGTAAATGGTAAATGGCCTGTATTTGTATAGCGCTTTTCTAGTCCCTAAGGACCCCAAAGCGCTTTACACATCCAGTCATCCACCCATTCACACACACATTCACACACTGGTGATGGCAAGCTACATCGTAGCCACAGCCACCCTGGGGCGCACTGACAGAGGCGAGGCTGCCGGACACTGGCGCCACCGGGCCCTCATAGAAAGAGTCCTCTTTGCTCCATTCATATAACTGTATTTCAAGTGTCAACTCATGTCCAATGAGAAGCTTTGAGGTCACTTTAGATACACCACTGAGTTTTCCTCGAATCGCCATGAGATCTATTTTTGGATCTAATCTGGCTCTGCTGTGTGAACTTTGTGTAGTCTGTCTTTTATTGGATGCATGTGCGTGATACAGTAGCGTGTATCTGTGTGTGTGACAGAAAAAGAAACAGGGAGACAGAGAGAGTGCAGCCTTACCACATAGCAGCATTGATGATCTTCATGACACACTCGTTGATGCACTGGCACACATTGACGAGTGGTGTGCCACGTTCCCCCATTTTCCCCAGCAGCAGACCTGAGAACAGATAACACAGTCGCACAGTTGTTTGTTAATAGTTGTGGTGCAACCTTCTTATCCCGATAAAGAAAAAAAGACTTTACAAAATTTAACTAACTGCATAGTAGTTAGTTGGTTAGTCATATAAATAAGCTATAAGGCAGAGCAGCTCTTGCTTTGCTGACATTGCTAATAAATCTCAAATTTTTAGCTCCTTTTAGTGAGTCTCCATGATCTGTGAGAGTACAATATTTCAATTAGAAAATACTGTACTTTTGAATTCCACTTCAGGTATTCAATATTATGATCAGAACTTCAGTACTTTTCAGACAAAGTTGTAAAAAACATAAATACCACAATGCATTGCTGCAAATTAAAACTAGTCTACAAAATCTTTTGCTTGTGCCACATTGCAAAATAAAGAATTTTTTTAAAACCACACCTTCTTGTGCCCTTTCAGATGTTCAGATCCAATATTATGCACTTAGTGGATATAATTTACTTGTTCAACACATCCTTTTTTATTTCTTTTTTACTGTTGTATTAAACTTCCCATAACTTATTTTCCTTTATAGAGAGAACTATACAACTGAACTGTGTAAAGTAATTTTACTTTCTCTGCATATATGACATCGGCCAATGCATCATCACATTTACTTTTGAAACTTTAAGCACATTATGCTGATAATAGAGACATTGCTTCTGATATCAAAAGTCATTAGTTTATCACTTTTGAAATGGAGACATGTGGAGAGATGGCATGAGACAGCCTGCCAGTGCAAAAGTTGTTATGTCCTGTAATATAATCAATGCAATAATGTATCTATGCATTTGCATGGTCAGCATGTAACTTATTTATGAGCTTGAATAGGCTGGCTTATTTTAAAATCCCATGGTTATTGTTATATAAAACATTAAAGTTGAATGGTGATTGTCTTACCCATTGTAGCTGAGAAGATGACAATCCCCAATACATTCATGCCTTTGCTTGTACTTGGGACAATCTTATACTTGATGTCAGGTGCAGGGGTGATCTCCAGGAAGACTGGATGACCCAGGCGAGGGTCGTGGTAATCGGGCATGACGTATACATAGTTGGCCTGAGACACTTTTGCGTCATTGTTCTGTACAATGGGTACCAAATCTGTCCGGTACTGGCACGAAATGAAAGAACAACCATATAGATCTTTTACTACGGGCATCTTGAAATTTGCATATTTGAAATTTGAATAATATTGCGCAGTTCTCAATCAGTAACTCCATGTTGTCGACTCACCTGCTGAAAAGTTGCTTCAATCAGGTTTGATGGGATCATGTTCCTGCAATGTACAATAAAAAGAAAGAAGCCATATGATCACATGTGTAGGATGATATACAGTTCAACTGATGGCAGCTAGATCATTTACTTGTGTGTGACAGATTCTGAAATGATGGTCAGCACTTATTGTTGACCTTAACCTCTGGGGGGTCCTAGAAAAATGCATACACTATTGGGCTTAGAGCCACAAATCGACCACGCCATGAAAAGTGCCATAAAATATCTATATATTAATATTTTTTTCCACTTTAAATTAGCCAATCTTTTAGACCTACTTCTCCTTGAAATATTCATATCAAGTTTTAATTACATTTCGCGGATTTTAACCCTTTATATCCCGGTTTCATCACATGGCCGCACTGTTTTTTTAGCCCCAAAAAACAAAGAAATCAAATATTTCCCAAAAGATACAATTCCAAGGCCCGGACTCCCGAGTACCACCAACATTCGGAAGATGGCCCATTATTTGGTTGTAATGACCGTGGAAAGGGAAATAGCGTTTATAATGGGTTTCAATGGGGCACAAATCGACCACTAGGACCAATAGTGTAAGTTTATCTGTAGCTCAGCCACTGAAGCTAATTTAAGGGAGTCAGACTGGAATTTTGAAATATATGTAACCAGACTTTTTTTTGGAAAAGTTGGCTATATTCCGTTCAACACAGTGCAAATGGCGTGTATACGAACAATGAAAAATGGCACAAATCGACCCAAGACCACCCAGAGGTTAAAAACAATAATGGGTTGTGTTAGACACCAAATAAGCACGGATGAGAAGTGCTTGGATTGCTCGGGTAAAAGAAAAAAGCTTGCCGCAGGTGATTTTCTATAATTCTTTTACAACTGGCCTCATTTATGCATCTACTGGTAAATAGCATGAAAAGCTAGATACTAAATGTGTGTGGTGAGACAGCTTTTTTGAGTTTTTAAATATTTTAATCTTATGTTTGAAGAAAGTATGTACTGTTTGTGATGGTTTTGAGGGTGAAAAACATATTAAAAACAAATTGTTAGTATTTTTTCAGTATAACTATTGGGATGCACAAATACAGTTTTTCACAGTAGAAATCTTCAGAAGCTTAAAATGTAAAAATATGCAATGGGTATGTAAATAATTAGGCTCAAATCATCAATTAAAAAGTGTCATGGTGTTCAGTTATTGAACATTTAGACTTTGTTATAATAATATCAATGATTAACCAGCAATTATACTGTAAACCTTATAAATAAAACACAGTCTCACTTTTGTTTACAGTAGGAAGTTCTTGTAGATGGTGAATCTAACTGCTAGTACTAAAAATGAAATTGCATATTTTGCATCATTTTGTAAAATAGATCAACTTTAAAATGAGCCAGTAGAATATAAAAAGCACCTCGAGTGGCTTGAACAGTACTGCCATTTCTCAATTCTCTTGCTTCTGGAGTATGTTAACTTTTGATACTTCCATTTATTCTTACAATAATAAGTTTTACATAGCGGATATTTATTTAGCCCACTACTTGTACTCATATGTCATCATATACCGTAAATGTCTCCAGTGGCCGAACTCATTAAAGTAAAATAGTTTCCTAGATTTAATGAGTTTTTATAAGAATAGTGAGAAAAACACAGGTTACGTTTTCACACAGTATAACAGCACAGAGAGTTTCACATGTTAAGGTTGATGGAAGCTGAACAGGTAGAGCCAGCATCATCAGACTGTTTTTATTCAACCTGCGTCAGTGACACTGGCACCAAACACATAAGACGACTGAAATGCGCACCTCACCACAGCTCTCCAGTTTAATCTCATTTAAGAATAAGCGGATCTTTGACATGAATGGCCCTTCAATAAGCCTGAGCCTGTACAGGAGTACAGGTTCAATCTAACAAAGTGACTCTGCAGTAGGATCTTCTGAGAAAGTGTCAGCTTAAAGAGTCACAATTAACTCTTTCCCTATTCTTAGTCAAGCTGCTGCAAGGGTAGTGACATTGCAACAATGCTACAAGGATTTTAAAGGATGATGTTAAAGCTTATCATTTAAATTCTGTGTTAAAAATCCCTCCACTGTTGCCAGAAACAGTTTAATATCAAATGTAAATTAATGTTTTGATGAATACAGATTTCTGCAAAGCTCTCATGTCTTTCTGGAAATCTAACCTATCTGAGGAGATTTTGTGATTGACCAAACCTGAATGAGGGTTTTTCTGCATATTAATAAAGTACTGCTTGTGAGAAATATGATTTTCCAAATAATACCAAATTAAGTCGTTTTCTACTTATTTGTGTATTTATTTATTTTAGTTTGAGATTAATTAAGGAATATGAAACAGATATAAGAGAGATCACTTTACCGGGAGCTCTAAGAGCTGATCTTGTGAAATGCTCTATTAAAACACACACACACACACACACATATATATATATATATATATATATATATATATATATATATATACTCAATGGGGATGTGGCGTACAACACTAGAGGCCAACTCCAAGCCCATAGCACAAGTCACCATCAAGTGCGGGATCTACCAAGGAGATGCTCTGTCCCCACTGCTGTTCTGCATAGGCCTGAACCCCCTCAGTGAGATCATTAACAAGACTGGCTACGGATACCGACTACAGAACGGAGCAGTTGTCAGCCACCTCCTGTACATGGACGACATCAAGCTGTATGCCAAGAGTGAACGAGACATCGATTCACTGATCCACACTACCAGGCTATACATTGGAATGTCGTTCGGACTGGAGAAGTGTAGTCGGATGGTAACAAAGAGAGGGAAGGTAGTCAGAACTGAGGGGATTGAACTACCAGAAGGCAACATTGCAGACATAGAGGACAGTTACAAGTACTTGGGGATCCCACAGGCGAATGGGAACCATGAAGAGGCCGCTAGAAAGGCTGCAACCACCAAGTACCTGCAGAGGGTCAGGCAAGTCCTGAGGAGTCAGCTGAATGGTAAGAACAAGATCCGGGCCATCAACACGTACGCCCTTGCCCGTGATCAGGTACCCTGCTGGGGTAATAGGCTGGCCAAAGGAGGAGATAGAAGCCACTGACATAAAGACAAGAAAGCTCCTTACCATGCATGGAGGGTTTCACCCCAAATCCAGCACCCTGAGGCTGTACGCTAAGCGGAAGGAAGGGGGCCGGGGACTGGTGAGTGTCAGCACCACAGTCCAGGATGAGACAACGAACATCCAAGAATACATTAGGAAGATGGCCCCAACTGACCGAGTGCTCAGTGAATACCTCAGGCAGCAGAAACCCAAGAAAGAGGAGGGAGACGAGGAACCATCATGGAAGGACAGGCCCCTGCACGGTATGTACCACCGGCAGATAGAGGAGGTGGCTGATATCCAGAAATCCTACCAGTGGCTGGACAAAGCTGGACTGAAAGACAGCACAGAGGCACTAATCATGGCAGCACAAGAACAAGCTCTGAGCACAAGATCCATAGAGGCTGGGGTCTATCACACCAGGCAAGACCCCAGGTGCAGGCTGTGTAAAGATGCCCCAGAGACAATCCAGCACATAACAGCAGGGTGCAAGATGCTAGCAGGCAAGGCATACATGGAACGCCATAACCAAGTGGCCGGCATAGTGTACAGGAACATCTGTGCCGAGTATAACCTGGAAGTCCCGAGGTCAAAATGGGAGATGCCCCCAAGGGTGGTGGAGAATGACCGAGCTAAGATCCTGTGGGACTTCCAGATACAGACGGACAAAATGGTGGTGGCTAACCAACCGGACATAGTGGTGGTAGACAAACAGAAGAAGACGGCCGTAGTGATCGATGTAGCGGTTCCGAATGACAGCAATATCAGGAAGAAGGAACACGAGAAGCTGGAGAAATACCAAGGGCTCAGAGAAGAGCTCGAGAGGATGTGGAGGGTGAAGGTAACGGTGGTCCCCGTGGTAATCGGAGCACTAGGTGCGGTGACTCCCAAGCTAGGCGAGTGGCTCCAGCAGATCCCGGGAACAACATCGGAGATCTCTGTCCAGAAGAGCGCAGTCCTGGGAACAGCTAAGATACTGCGCAGGACCCTCAAGCTCCCAGGTCTCTGGTAGAGGACCCGAGCTTGAAGGATAAACCGCCCGCAGGGGCGTGCTGGGTGTTTTTATATATATATATATATATATATATATATATATATATATATATATATATATATATAAGAGAGAAAGCTTGCTGAAAAAGTAATTATATACAGAGTTTGCATCTCTGTTAATGTTCACTGCAACAATATACAATTTAGATTCAGATTGCTGCTGAGTAATTTGCCATTTTTTATTTTTATTTATTTTTATTTATTTTTTTTGCCAAGCACATCCTGCTGACACAACTGCTAGCTTTCATCCAGCAGCATCAGCATTTTAAAATGTCCTGATTCAGTGAAAAATCTTATAATTCGTTAGATAATCTCTGGTGCCATTGTAGAGATGATATGTTTGAACGCCAGATATGGCATGGTTTGCTATGAATAGTAGTGTGAATAGATGAAAGACTGAAATCTTTTGTTTCTGTGTGAATGTTAACCTGATGAGGTCCAGCAGAGCATCAGCGGAGGTCATAACAGGCCCTGAATGTGAATGGTGACTGTCTTTTTCAGAGCCGGTCCCTGGGTGAACGATGATAACCAGCACGATACCAACGATGACAGCAATGAAGGTCGTCCACAGGTAATAAGTGATGGTCAGGACTCCCAGACGACCGCTTGCCTTGGTGTCCATGGCTGACAGGCCAGACATAAGACTGGATAGGAAAGTAGAAGAGGTGTGATTATGGATGTTGGCTTTACGAAAGACTGGAACTGAAGTAGATTTGAATTAGTTGTTTGTTTTTCTAAGGCTGCAGATTTTCAATAGATGTAGTGACATTTAACTGGTGGTGTTCAAACTGAAGTGGAGCAATAGGAAATATGACATCCAACACATGTCCCAGACCAAATTCAAAGCCAGCATCTCAGCTCTTGAATGACTGTACCATTAATCTTTGTGACCAGGACATTCCACACCTCTAAATTCTGTAAAAATATTTCCTTCAAATATATATTTGATTTAAAAATCAAAGCTATCGTCTACCTGGAGGTGATAAGTGGGAGAATCAACATCTTCAACATCCTCATCAGCAGTTCTCCAGGGAATGAGAAGTAGATCTTGGCCTGTTAAAGACAGGAACAGTTAAGCTTTGGACTTGTTTTTGTGTTTTGTGTTTTTTTGGGGGGGGGGCTGCAATGAGCTCAATACAGTTAAAAAAAATCATTATTTACAAGAAGTATGTACAGAATATGTCACCTGTTGTAGTGTAGTGTAGTCAGGTTAGGGGTAGACACTGGACAGGTTGCTACCTCATTAGATGGTCAACACACAGAAAAAAGGAAACCACACACTATCGTATCCAGACTTAACCCAATCTTAGAATCACCAATAAATTACATTTAGGTTTTAAAATTAATTTAGTTAATCTAACGTGGATGGCTTTGGACTGTGGGAGGAGGTCAGAGTAACTCTCTGAGCAGAGAGAACATCCAAACGCTGCTCTTGCATAAGTCACATGTAGTAATTTTGATTAATATTAAATTCTTAATAATAAAGAAAGTTAGTATTATGCTTGTGTTTCACAGATTCTTTCACTGATCATTGGATGGAAATAAAAATGTACTTTTAGAGCATTCCTGCTACTAGACAAGATTACATTGAGGATCCACACTGGACACATAAGCTTCTCAGTTTAAGAGCGTCTTACATCACAGTGACTTCATGGTTGTAGTCTGTAACCTTGAATGAGACATTGCTACACATGGAAATAAAATCATAAATACAGGCTGGAAAAAAACAAAACATTGAGAGAAATTCAGTATGGAATGACAGACTAATTCATTCATTTTCAACTACTCCTGGGAAACAAACTAAACTTATTGAATCTGGAAATTGTGTTTATTGTTTATTTTATATTATGAGGCTCAAATAATGGACAAGTTATTTCTTTATACCACTGTATTTGAAAGGAAACAGATTAATTTTTCTTTCTTTTGGTGAATCAAACCAATAACATTTCATAAACTCCATAAAACTGATTGAATCCTGGGTTATTTCACATACACAAAGTTGCATATAATCCAGTATTGATATTTAAAATTTTTACAGTTGTTCAGTTGTTTATGCTTATCTTCTCCTCTTACCTCTGAACTGATTGTCTGTGTCTGTGTTCTTTCTCATTATTGCATAACGGACCTCATCTACAGCCTCAGTGCAGACATGTCAACATGTCAGGAGTACTCATTGCCTATTCCTTTTATCCTAACTGGAGTTATCCTAACTAATTTGTACATATTCTGGACAACATTCTAATGTAACGAATGTCTGTTAGAGCCTAAGTGAGTCACTTTGTCTTAGTTTGATTTTCTCTCTATTCATACATTCATCCATTAATTCATACCTGTGTGGAGAGGTTGAATGACCGGAGTATAAATCCAAGCACACAGCCGGTCACTACCGCAAAGACCGAGAGTGTCAGCAGACCATTCCTCTTGCAGTAGTCCTTCACGTACGCCCTGACTTTCAGAGACACTATATTTTCTAATAACTTCTGCAGACATTCCATCCTGATTCAGGCTCAGTCTGTATCCCAGCAAATCCCCCCCACCCCCGTCGCTGGCAGCAGATATCCGAATCTCTTGATGAGTGAGAATTGTCGGTATGTATCTCTCGAGATCCACGGCAGAGGAGAGCAGGTGTACCTGAAGAAATGTGGGTCCTGTTTAACTCTGAGGAGCTCATCCAGTCTGAAGGAGGAAACGTTGGCTGACTTGTTCCTGGTAAAGCGGTGTCTACAAGGATTATCCCTATCCCATGCGAACAAAGTCTCCTTTAGAGACACTCAGGCTTATTAAAGAGGCTAAAGGTAAGCTCATTATGAGTTATTACTACCTGTGTCCAAGTCATCCCATTCACAAATGCACCTTCATGCACTTTGTCATCTGCAACTTAAGCTCTTGAGTGCATGTTTACTCACATGTATGTAATTAATTAGTTATATTGTACTTGCTGAGAAGCACAATGTAAGAATTACAGGAAGGTTTTATAAATTAATCGCAAGGTCTCTTTTAAATAATACAGCAAAGATTTCTACTCATGAAACTTTTTTATTAGACTGAGGAATGACCTGTCCTGGCAGGATTACCAGAGGCAAGGCCAAAGGCATGACGCCAGCATCAGCGCTCACTATTCAGCTATGACGTAAAACTGATTAACAGGTCTGGACATACACTGGGTAGCTTTAATGTCATGATTTGTCACTTAAACTAGTAAATAATACCATCTTGGTACAAAAAGAAGCTCAAATTAGTTTGTAGTTGAAGGCATGAACTTTAACCCTGCAGGCTGTGAAGGAAAAGATGACCACTCTCACACTAGCATGGTTTACACACTACAATCTACACTGTTATTCAAGCAGAATTAAATTTATAGCTAGTGACACCAGATTTATCATATAAAGAATTTAAAGGAAAAATATAAAGTATTGTCTTATGCAGCGGGAAACTAGTGATCAATACAGCTGAGTACTCTGAGCTACCAGCTGTCTGTTGTAGTGTGCTGTTTGCATGCTGTTTTAATGCTTTTTGTTGATGTCTGCTAATCCTTTTAGTCCACACTGACCTGGAAAGAGATCCAAATTTGACACTGAGCATTCTAACAATGTCTTCCTACATTACCTTTAACCAGTCCAATAGCATTTAATCCTTGGACAATGCACGCAGTAAGATTAGTGGATGGAACAAACAGCAAACAAATACTTACTACTTATCTATTTATCTCTGCTTTTAAATCTTAATCCTCCAGCCAAAAGCCCCAAATTACTTTCAAATGCATCATACACTAACATTAACAAACAATAACTATTATTCTTATTAAAAATATAATTTTATTTAAATATTTACAGAACCATCAGTGCTAAAACCTCAGCTTGGGTGTAAAACCTCTTATAAGTGAAGCGAATAGCAAACCACCCCTAGTGTTTGTGTATGAATTTGTTGCTTTGTTAGCTGTCACCACTGTATCATCTAGAAACAATTTTATTTTATATATATATATATATTTATATATATTTCAGGTGATCAGAATCAAATATTTAATTTAATGTATCTTTAAATAAGAAATGTATACTTAGTGAGGTTACTGCCAGCTCTGTGTTCAGGGGTCTGTGTCAGAGTTTCTTCCTCTTCAGCAGCTGCAGTCTCTGCAGTCTGACTGAGGGAGGTTTTTGTACAGCTACAAATCACTGTGTGAACACATCAGCACTGTTTATTACATGGATACTCTTACAGTAGTAAACTGCTGCATCTTCAGCCTGAACTCCACTGATGGTCATAGAGAAGTCAGAGCTGCTTCCACTGCCACTAAATCGAGTTGGTGTTTCTGAATGTCTTATGCTCACATGTCGAATTAGGAGCTTTGTGGTCTGTCCAGATTTCTGTTGATACCAGTACATACACAGACCATCACGACAGCTAGCAACAGCTTGGCTGGTCCTACAGGTCAGAGTGACATTGGATCCAGGAGTAGATGTCAGTACTGGAGGTTGAGTCACAGTCACCTGACCGCTGCATCCTGCAGACAGAAACAAATCATTCATTTATCAGCAGAAATCAATGAGAGAAAAAGCAGCACATCATGTTTGAAATGTTGCTGAGTGAATGAACCTGTAAAACAGCAGCAGGTCAGCGTCCAGATGAGGATGGTGATGAGAGTCATGGTGGTTGTGCTTTCTGCTGTGTTGACTGACAGATGTGAGTCCTGCAGTGTTGAAGTCACAGGACTATAAACCTTCTCAGTTCTCTGGAGGATAAGCTGATGATGCAAAGCCTCCTCTCTATGGAAATCATTTCTCTGCTCTCAACACACTGAAGGCAACGTGAAACAACTGAAGAAAATTTTTACATTGGGATTGCAACTAAGGTGTCCATGGCTGCAATTGATACGTTTTATTTTGAGTGTGATTAGTATGAAATCTAAAGTATAGAAAATTGTGATTTTTTTTTTACTTTACTTTAAATTTGCTTTGTTAGTAGTCAGTATTGAGAAGCATTTTGTTAGATGCTCTGTTACAAAGACAGTAATTCTTTCTATTTCCAGTTTGTAAATTGTCAAGATATTATCTTTATTTGTAGGAAAATTATTTTGTTCTTTTTAAAGCATTTTAGATTAAAACTAGCATAAATGTAGCCGTTTAGATTAAGTATTGGGGTAGCAGACATTTTCTAAGTGCTTAGATACTTGTTCTGAGTGCAGGCCGTTTTTGTGTGGCCACTTAGTGAGTTTGTATCACTGTGGTACACTTTTGGCAGAGGAACCAAACTCATCGTTAACTGTAAGTACCAAAAACTTTTACTTTGCAAAACATGTAGTATTAATAATACTACATATACTAATAATAATACTAATTAATGAACTTTAGATTTTTGTATGTTGCTAATAATTAAGGTTAAATTGAAAAAATGCTGATGTCACAAAATGAGAAAAAAACGTATTCTTTCCAAGCTGCAGTTAAATTCATTGAATCAATGAACAATTATCTATTTTCATCATACTTTATATTTTTTAAAAATATTTAGAAAAGTCAAAATAAACTAATAAATTAAAAATGTAACACTGCAGAAGAGCAGCTGTAATATTTTAGCTCATTATTTCAATATCTGCTTATTTTTAGATTTAAAATGTGATCCGTAGTTTTGCCAAATTAAAAAAGTGATTTTTTTAGAGTAACTGCAGATCATCTTGGTGTTCATGGCTCATTAACTTTAAATGTAGTTTTAAAGGAAGTGAAAGAAACAGATGACAAAGATTTGACTGTTCACATGAGTGTTTCAGCTTGGTTCATTTATATGTGGGAACATTATCACAGAGATGAGTTATTCACTTTGAAGTATTATTCAATAGATATAGGAATAGATTACCATATAACTGCCTTTCAAAGTTTCTTCACCTTTTTGACTCTCTCCTCTCTCTGCGCTGTCTCCTCCAGTGGGTGTGTTGAGGCCCACCCTGACTGTCCTCCCTCCTTCTAAAGAGGAGGAGAAGAAAAGCAGTGCCACTCTGGTGTGTCTGGCCACTGGAGGGTTCCCCTCAGGTTGGAAGCTGGGCTGGAAGGTGGGGGGCTGTAGCCCATCTTCAGGGGTGTCAAACAGCCTGGAGGTCTTGGGGACAGATGGTCGTTACAGCTGGAGCAGCACCCTGAGCCTCTCTGCAGACCAGTGGAGGAAGGCGGGCTCAGTTAGCTGTGAGGCCAGTCTGAGTGGACAGAGCCCCATCACTCAAACCCTGGACCCTGACCACTGCTCAGAGTAGAGCTTCAGCAACACTTCCTGTCTACAAATGATGTTTTCGAATCTACAGATCTCTGTTCCAGTGTGTCTGTAAAACTATGTTTGATCTTTCGAGAAATGTTCATATTCATGTTCTGCTTCTTGCCCACTATAATAAGCAGTGTTGGTCAAGTTACTTGAAAAAAGTAATCAGTAACTAATTACTGATTACCTCCCCAAAAAAGTAATCCCGTTACTTTACTGATTACTTATTTTCAAAAGTAATTAATTACTTAGTTACTTTTTAAAAACACGATTTACAACCTGAAGAGGTGATAAAGTGATAGATCTTTCAGCCCAATTCTACTTTTTCTGCATAATCCATCATACAAAATGTAATCAAATGGAAAAGTCTCTTTTTAAAACTTGTTTTATCAGTTTTAATCTTTTAACTTTATGCATCAAGCAAAAATTTAATTATATGCAACATTCTCTGACTGGAAGAAATTTGTTTTAAACCTATTTAAACCTATTTTCTGCACATTCCAGCACATAAAATAAAATATTTTTTTGTGTTTACACTCAGTCTTTCAAATAGATGCAAGTAAAACACAGCAGAAAATAAATAAAGTCAAATACTCAGCGGTCATTTTGCTCTATTTTCACCTGTAAAGCAGGACTGCGGTAGGCGGAGGTTTACCCTGGTGCAGGTGTGCCGCAGCGGTCAGTGGAAGAATCCGCGAGTTTCTCTGAGTTTCCCATTACGTGCTTGCTTGGAAGTTTAGGGGTTTTTTTCGCTGTAAAAAGAAGTTTTCTTCCCACGCACAACGGACACGAATGTTTTTGTCACTTTTTATGGAATCAAACTCAAAGTAAGGTCAGTACTTCCACGCTTTAAACGCTGCATGCTCATACTCTCTCCTGCATTCCATATATGATCCATTGTTGATCTGCACACAGCTGTTGTCACGAACGTCGCACTTGCTTACTCACTGTCATGAGACATTCTCGCAAAAAATCACGGTTGCAGTAACGCAGCGTTCCTACGGGAAAGTAACGGTAATCTAATTACGGTTTTTGCAATAGTAATCCCTTACTTTACTTGCTACTTGAAAAAAGTAATCGGATTATAGTAACGCGTTACTTGTAACGCGTTACTGCCCATCTCTGATAATAAGGAATGTAACTTACAGCATGAAATAAAAGTACAATAAAACACTGTGTTTGTATTTAGTTAGTTTTGCAATAGAGCTTTTATGTTTAATTATTAAACCTTATGCTGCATTGTGAATCTCATACTTTTGCGCAACAGAGTTAAAGATAAAGATTAACATGTTCATTATATTATACTTACAATAGCGGTAGGGGAAAATTATGGGGATGTAATATTTTTTTCTATCAATGCATCCATCGCAGCAGCAATGTTTTAGAAAAGATAAATGGTAAATGGTAAATGGCCTGTATTTGTATAGCGCTTTTCTAGTCCCTAAGGACCCCAAAGCGCTTTACACAACCTGTCATCCACCCATTCACACACACATTCACACACTGGTGATGGCAAGCTACAATGTAGCCACAGCCACCCTGGGGCGCACTGACAGAGGCGAGGCTGCCGGACACTGGCGCCACCGGGCCCTCTGACCACCACCAGTAGGCAACGGGTGAAGTGTCTTGCCCAAGGACACAACGACCGAGACTGTCCAAGCCGGGGCTTGATTAAATGATATACATTTTTATGTTAAAACTTCTTATTATAAACTTTTATTTTGTGTATGTGTTTGATGACTCTATTGTTGTGTTCAGTGGACCGGTTATTCTCATCACAGTCTCTTCACTGCACTCTGCACCTGCAGCCTTCACTCAGACTGAAGGAGGTTTTTGTGCAGCTCTAAATCACTGTGCGCATACTCCACCAGTATGCACACCCATACAGTAATAATCTCCAGCATCTTCAGCCTGAAACCCACTGATGGTTAAAGTGTACTGAGAACCAGATCTACTGCCACTGAATCGAGACGGAGTTCCTGAGGAGCGAGTTGATGCTTGATATATAAGAAGTTTGGGAGGCTGTCCAGGTTTCTGAAGGTACCAACTGAGATCAGCACCAATATCTGAACTTCCTGTGGCGCTGATGGTCACAGTCCCACCAAGACTGACAGGTTTGGATTTATCAGCCTGAGTAAGAAATTTATTGGCCAAGGAATCTGAAATGATAAACAAAATTAAATCTGATTTAAAAAAAACCTTGATAATCACCAGCGAAGATTACGATAAAACTAAAACATTTAAATGAAAAAGTTAATAAATGTTTAGAAATTCTCACCTTGCATTAGAAAACCCAACACGAGAGTCAGAGTTGCTATCAACATCATCTTGATGCAGTTTTCAGTGTGAGTGCATGAAAACAGTTCAGACTCTCATTGAAAGGAGAACTTAAACTCCAAAGATCAGTGATGCATAAAATCATGCAAAATGCATTTGGGCACATCTGTCCCTGTGAAACTGAGAGAGGGGGGTGTAAGATAACTCCGCATATCCCTGTGGACTGAATATGCAGAAATGTGACTTCCCACTTCCATGCCTGTGGCTTTCTTATCTTTGCAAGATTACCCAAGGAAGCCAAGGAAGGTCTTTTCAACCATAGATAGTCGCAGACTGCCCTCTGCTGACAATCCAAATTCACAACAACTCTTGGTAAATGTCCATGATCATGTGTATCAGTTAATCTTGGTGCTTCATCCGTGACGTTAGAAACACTGCAGAGACCAAGATTGTATCGCAACAACAGTGTTCCAAGCTTTAAATGTTCATGTATGAGTTTTCAGTGGCTCCTAGATTACCATTAGTCATTAATATCATGTCAAAATCCCAGTATTACATCTCATTCTATAAACCAAATTTAATGAGTCAAGAAACTGGTTGGTAAAACTTTTCTGCAAAACTCTGAACATCTTCTCTTGCAGCCAAACACATTTTTTGTAGTTTTCCCATTGTGATGTATAATGATAACCACTGAAGGCAGAATTTCAACACAGCTTATCAATCATTATTGATAACCATTATTTCTTGAACAAACATCTCTAAAATTGTTGCATTTTGTTGCTACTGATGTGATGAAACTAATGTGAGTGAGTTCAGAGTAAAGGCAAATCTGAGCTGAAGGTGGATCCAGAAATAGATGGAAACCATTTGAAAGAAATGATGAAGATGAAGACGGAGACAAAGATCAGGAACAGCAATTTCAAATGAAATTTTTGTAACCATGTTGGACTATATTTTTGCACATGCAATGAAAACCCATATGAACAGAATTCAAAAAAGCACTGGCCATTTTATTAAGTACACTGGATGCCACAGCATAACACAAATCTCTCAAGACACAATGATGGCAGCTACTCACTGTATTTAGGCACGTAGTCATGTTCAAGATGATCTGCTGAACTTCAAACTGAGCAGCAGTTAAATCAGGTGATTTAAGTGACTTTGAATTTGACACAGTTGTTTGTGCCAGCTGTTTGTTCTGTTTCCCACAAAGAAATTTCTAGGGTTTACAGACAATCATCTTATGATCTGAAAAAGAGAAAATGCCCAAGGAAGGCAGTATCAATGTGTTTGTTTTCTTTATTTGCATGTTTTTTTGGGAGTTTTTTGATACCAGAGTTCAAAGGAGAATAGGATAGGAAAGCAACAATAATTCAAATAATCATTCATTACAACTAAGTAATGCGGAAGCGATCCTTCAAACCTTGAACCAGATAGACTGCAGCAGTGGAAGGCCACACAGGATGCATCTCCTGTCAGGTAAGAACAGGAAACAAACTATAATTCACCAAAACTAAACAAAATAGGATTGGAAAATGTTTGCTGGTATAATAAGTCTCGATTTCTCCTGTGATATTTGGATAGTTTGGTCAGAATTTGACATACACACATGAAAGCACAGTTCCACACTGGCTTGTATCAACAGTTCAACCAGTGCCAGTGATGTACAATAATGATACGAGTGATATTTTCTTGGCATATGTTGGTCCCCACATCTTTATTATTTTTGTAGAACTGAAACAAGCAGAGTTCGGAAAGACCTGTGTTACAATTTGTGAAAACTGTTCTTTTATTTACATTTTGTGAAGTATTTGAAATGGTGTGTAATGAATCTGTTATTATTTTTGGCTGGTTATTTGTATTATCTAATGACTGTTTTACAGTTTCTCACTTAAAGCAGTTCTCAAAAGTGTAATGCAGATTTTTAAGCTCCTCATTCAAATTTCCTCTTCAGTCACATCCCAAAGTTGCTCTACTCGACTGAGATGTGATGACTGAAGGTATCATGAAGTACTGTGTGCCAGGCAGTGGACCCAAATGCAGGACTCGCCCGACAGACTTTATTAGCTGGCAAATGGCAGACTTAATAAAGAGCTAGGTCTTCTGCTGCTGTAGCCCATCTGTGCCATGTGCGTTCATAGGTCTTCTTTTGCATACCTTGTTTGTAACAAATGCCTATTTGAGGTGCTGTTGCCTTCCTATCAGGTCAAGGTACTCATTCTCCAATGACCATGAGATGAACAAGGTATTTTCACCCGTTACCGCTCACTGACACTTTCTGTTTTTCAGACCATTCTCTGTATTGGATTAACGAGCAGTTTAGAAAGATCTGAGTTATATGTCCTGAACAATATTTGTTTTGTACTTTGGTTGTTTGCTGTAAGGTTTTGTCTACTCAGATTGCTGTGACTCACCTTGTAAACACACAGAAATCCATGGGTGAGGTGGTTTTTGTTACACAAATGTAAAGCTGCGAGGCTGCAGGCAGTGGCTACTTCCACTGTTACAATAATTATTTTCTTTTATAAAAAACACGACTGGTTTTTATTATATAAAAGTTTCAAACGCTTTTAAAAAGTTTTCTTTCACTTCAACAGCTTATTGCAGGTTTTTAATATATCTTGGTTGCCAACATTGAAATCACAAGATTTCAATGTTGCATAAACACCCTTTTTCCTAAGAATCAAGACCTGCCTAGACAAGTACACTCTACATACAACTTTTATTGTCATAAGCTACTGGAATCAAGAGTCAACACTGAGATATTAAAGTTGTTCTCAATCACTTTGGTGTAATTCTCACATCAGGAGCATCACTCTTACTGTTCTTAATGCAGTTTTAAAAACCATTAAGGCATTTTAACTGACTCATCCTTGCAAAAGGCTAGTACATCACTTCATCTCTGTGATTACTGAATAAAAACCTTGAAATGACACAATTATGCAACTATATGCATCAGAAAACACACAAAAAAAATATACAAACTGAGAACATAGCACCAATTACTGTGTAGTCCAGTAAAGTCATGCTAGCAAGATTCAGCAACCACTTTATTAGGTACAACAGAGTACTTCAAGCTGAGAGGGAAACAGTGACCACTTGTTATAAACAAGGTATGCAAAAGAGCATCTCTGAACTAAAAACACATCAGACCTTGATGCAGATGGGCTACAGCGTCAGATGACCACACTGGGTGTCACTCCTCTCAGCTAAGAACTTTAAACTGAGGCTACATTTTTCACAGAAATTGCGCAGTAGGAGACTGGGCGGGGGGCTGTATTCAAATGACCTCCCCAATCACCAGATCTCAGTCCAGAAGAGCACCTTTGCCACGTGGTCAAAGTTTGAATGAAAACGTGAGCGCAACTGTGTGATGTTATCATGCCAATATGAAGAAAAATCTCTAAGGAATGTTTCCAGCACCTTTTTGAATCTAATTCACAAAGAATTAAGGCAATGCTGAAGGCAAAAAGCGGTCTAGCCCAGCATTACCAAGATGTACCTAATAAATTGTTTGAAGAGTGCACATCTATGTAATATATGCTTATGTGTAATTAACATTCCTTTAATGTGCACTGGTGACACAAGAGTATGTGTTTCTTTTTGTTTCAATAAAACCTCTTCTGAGAAAATGTGTTTGTATTTGCTTTCAGTTGAAGGGCAACTTCACTGCTACCACTGACAGTGACTGGCCTTACTCTTTCTTACATTGCAAGAACTTTTTATACATGTATACAGCTTTTTAGTATATTCTGGTTAGCAACAGAGAGACGTTTTCTGATAGAAATGTAAACACCTCATGCAGATTTCCCAGGTTTTTCTTAAAAATTCTTACCTGCCTGGACAAGTGTACTGTCCAAACAACAGTTAAAGTCATAGGCCGCTACGATCGAGAATTAGTACGTTTATTAGCAGTGTTGGGGAGTAACGGAATACATGTATCGCCGTTACGTATTTAAAATACAAAATATGAGTAACTGTACTCCGTTACAGTTACCGTTTAAAAAGGTGGTATTTAGAATACAGTTACTTTGTTGAAATAAATGGATTACACAGCGGTATTTTTCCTGTTTCATGTTGTGGCGGGTCAGGACTGTTTGGGTTTTGTTTGACAGCTGTGATGTTCTGTTGTTCCAGGAGGCAGCGTTACGGTTACCATGGTTACAGGGTGACGCTTGCCCTCTCTGCGACTGTGTTTCCTGGGTGAGAGAGGCCTTTTTGTTGTTGTTGTTGTTGTTGTTGTTGTTGTTGTTGTGCTAAGCTAATAGGCAGAATGCTACAGGCATAGCCCTAAAGAATGTGGGCAGTGTAGTCCGTGCTGCAGGGAGAATGGACTGCCATACCCGTTATGTGTCTGTGAGAAAAAGGAGAGTGGAAAAGTAGAGCTGTCATTGAGCAGAAACGGGAGCTGGAACCATGTAAATATAATAATAACCACTGCAGCCAAAAAGAGTGCCTGACGAGCCCAGTTGTAAGTAAGCTATTAAGACTCGACTGTACACCGTGTTTGTGTTTTCCTCCGAAACAATAAGTTCCGTTGGAGCAGCCTTTCAACGCCTCTCTCTGTCTCTCGCTAGCAAAGTTGACCCAGACAACAAGGTAAAGCTAGTTTTCAGCTATGAGCCGGGCCCTGTTTCAGGAAGCCGGTTTGGAAAACTCAGAGTGAAAAACGACACTCACGGTTGAGTAACCCCGAACTGTCCAACTCGGAATATTCCGTTTCAGAAAGGCTGATAACAATTAGTTCAGTCAACGCGGAGTTGCTTTAACCCCAAGTGAAGCGCGCGGACGAGGATACATAAAGCCCTGATAAGCGGAGCACAGATTAAGCGAGTCACCATGGAGACGGAGGGAAAGAAGGCGCGGTCAATGTATTTCACAGCGCTTGAGGCCGAAATTCTGATGGCAGCATATGCCGATAACATGCAAATTCCGCGGAAAAAAGTAACACAGCCACAGCTGCAAAAGCATGCATGGCAAAACATAGCCGACAGAGTCAATGCGTGAGTGTTAATTTAAACATTGATCGAGGGATTTCCACCCATTTAACACGTTATTTTATCATATGTTATTTTATTTG